AAAAAAAAAAAAAAAAAAAATAGCACTCAGTTCCTTAAGCCTTAGTGTAAATTGCCCTCAAAAAGCAGCAACTTTACATAACTTTTAAATATTATTTCATATATTTTTACTCTGAAAATACATAAAACACTTGGGAAAACAGAGCACGGAAAAATTTTTAATTGCCCAGAGTTCACTCATCCTAATACATTTTCATGTATTTCCTATAAATCTCCCTTCCCCCAATTTATAGGACTTGGTTTTTGTTCTATATGACTGTAAACATGCCATATATGTAATTTTGTATGCTGCTCTTTTCTCCACTTATTTTATCATAAACACTTAAAAAATATTCTTCTATAGCTTTCATAGCTGGCATTTTTTTTTTAATATATGAAATTTATTGTCGAATTGGTTTCCATACAACACCCAGTGCTCATCCCAAAAGATGCCCTCTTCAATGCCCATCACCCACCCTCCCCTCCCTCCCACTCCCCATCAACCCTCAGTTTGTTCTCAGTTTTTAAGAGTCTCTTATGCTTTGTCATAGCCGGCATTTTCAAAGGCTCTTTTTTTTTCTGGACTGGATATGCAGTCTATTTTGCTTAATCATTGACTTAATTTTGGATTTTTATTTTTTACTTTATTATTTATTTTTTAAACATTTTATTATCCATTTTTGAGAGAGAGAGTGGGGGAGGGGCAGAAAGAGAGGGAGACACAGAATCCGAAGCAGGTTCCAGGCTCTGAGCTGTCAGCACAGAGACCAACGCGGGGCTGGAACCCACAAACCACTAGATCATGACCTGAGCCGAAGTCGGATGTTTAACCGACTGAGTCACCACCTAGGCACCTCAATTTTGGATTTTTAGATTGTTCCCGGTTTTTATTATAAACAGTACTGCAGTGGCTGCAGTGCATAGCTTTGTGATTGGGTGTGTAAGGTAATAATAATAAACAACTGAGGGCTTCCCATATATTGGGGATTGTGCTCATTTGCATGGATTATCTCATTTAACCTTTATAAAAATCCTTATGGGTAGATAATTTTATTATCCCCAGTTTACAGATGAGGAAACAAACACAGATGAATGAGTTTCCTTGTCCAAGGCAAGTGGCAGAAGTGGACTGAACCCAGGAAGCCTGGCGTCTGTTTTCATTCTCAGGAGCGCAAGTCCTGTTAAAGGTTTCCTAATGGGTCTACCCAAGGGAAGACCTCTTACAAATAAAACTCATTCCAAACCTCCACATTTTTACTGGATGTCTCTGGGTTATGTCTACTCTTCTCCTATGCCAATTAGGTGAAGAGTGGAACAGGACTATCCCCAAACGAAACTGACCACAAAGAGGCTGGTTCACCTCCCTCCTTGGGAAGCCAAATAAAGTCTCCCAAGAGGGCCCAAGGAATGTTTTTAGTTTAACGGGGTTAGAATTACTGCATTCATGCCTTTCTGCTGCTCTTGCTATTTAAAAAAATTTTTTTTCAACGTTTATTTATTTTGGGGACAGAGAGAGACAGAGCATGAACGGGGGAGGGGCAGAGAGAGAGGGAGACACAGAATCGGAAACAGGCTCCAGGCTCCGAGCCATCAGCCCAGAGCCCGACGCGGGGCTCGAACTCACGGACCGCGAGATCGTGACCTGGCTGAAGTCGGACGCTTAACCGACTGCGCCACCCAGGTGCCCCTGCTCTTGCTATTTTAAATAGTGCCAACATGTTCTTACGTTCTGTGCCATTACCACCTACATCTCTGCAGTGTCTCCGTGATGTTATTTTCCCAAGAAACAGGGCTACTGTGCACTCGAGCCGCTTTGCAAGGCGAGTTAAGCTATTCTCATCGGGAGCCTTTCACCTCCCATTTTCCTCCGCAGCTCATTATCCCGCACACTTGAGCTGCAGTCAGAAGGCTTAAGCTCAGACTGGCTGGGCTTAAGAGGGCCTGGGGGAAAGATGCTTTGGAGACTTACCTCATCTGCTTGGAGGGATCACAGGCCTTCTTGCCATTCTGCACCAGGCCAGTCTCCGTATGCCCAATCAAACGTGTCCGTCGCCAAAAAGGTCAAGAAAATGTATTCATCAAGAGGATGTGGTTCTCTTAAAATCACGAGTGTTTTCTGAAGCCCATCTGTGAGCTGTGTGCTGAGTTGGCGTGGACTCATCAACCAGCCTGTGACAGATTGGGTGAGCTGAGGCAAGTTACAGATTACCCTCGAGCCTCAGTTCCTATCTGCAAAAGGGGTATAGCACTTCCCTCATAGTGCAGTCATAAGGATTGAATAATCTACCAGAAGTGTCTGGTTTATGCATTCTGGCGTATGATTGGCACTGGATAAATGCTAGCTTTCTTCCCATATGGCCAAGCTTTAAACGTTATGGTTATAGCCCACCTGCAGAGATTTTTCATGCAAAGTCAACCTGAAGGAAGAGTTTCATTGCACTCAAAAAACAATAAAAATAATAAAATAAAAAATCTTGTGATCTTTTAGCTCTTAAAAGTGGTCCTGGGTCGGGGTACCTGGGTGG